CTCATTTGAAAATAAATACGTTATCTATTTCTGTCAAAATTAGATTTCCGCACGTTAATTCTGAAACCCCTCATTGTATTGTTTTTGTTTTTGATAACTCAATCGTCTCATCATCAGTGCTTTTTGATTCCTACATCAACTGATGCATTTCGTTTGCATGGGTTTGAACTTTAAATTTTGGCTGGAGCTTAGCCTAGCTTGGCTTAGATAAACATTCAAACACATGGATGACAAGCCTTCTATATATTCATTTATAAGGATTTGAGCTTCGAAAAGGATACTTGAACTTTACTACTTCAGTTTATTTTATGGGTTTCCTATATGTAGTTGGTACTTAAGAAGCTTTGAAATAATTTCTTAATAGTTTCAAGGTTAATTGTTTTTGTAAAAAAAGTATTCCATGTGATTATTTTATAATTCGTTATGTCATAAAATTAAAATTACGGTCAGACTTTCTGAACTTTAAGTATCAATATCTATTACTTTTCATTAGGAATCCTCAATTAAGAATATAGTGTAATGGTTTAATACAATAATTGATTTATTAACAACAGAATTTTATGGGTGATATGTAATTTTATTACCGTTATTGTTTTATGATAGATTTCTGACCTTATTGAATATAAATACCGCATTATTTCGTAATAACCCATATGTTCGTTATTTCGAGTTATTTGAATGCGTTATTTTGAGATAAAAGCTAAATTTTCAATAAAATTATTAATAAAGACAAGAATAAATTTATTTGGTGTAGGAGCACTCGGTGATTTCTATAGCAAAATTAATGTAACTGATCGTCCGACATAGAACATTTATGTGATTAGCTAATTTATATTGATCTAAGCATGCGCGTTATTTCGGCACGCGCATGGGTGAGTTAGTGTAAGTTCGAATCCACATTATTTTAGGTGATAAGATTTTCACATGGGTTATTACGCAAAATACGGTAGTGACATTAAGTTTGATCTAGGTTGAGTTGATTGAATTGTAATTATATACTGTTTGTTAGACTAAATCTGGCCCAAACCCACAAATTCACTGGTTGGGCACATATTTTTAGACCCATCATCAAATGGACCGGGTTTGGGTTAAGCTTGTACCAAATTGAGTCAATAAATCCTAATAAAATCTTGAATTACCAGCATATAATTAAAAATTATAACTCAAAATATATCGATATATAGTATTAACCTGAGTTCCTCGCGCTTCAAAAATTTGCCAAGTCATCCTTTTCCTAATTAGAATGCGCGCCAAAGTTTAGTACGTATTGCCACTGGAAGATCATTAAAAGTTATTAAAAGTCAAATCAATAATACCACTAGAACTTTTACAATTAAATTACATTATTAGAAATTATGTGCATAGTATAATTTTTTTTTAATATATATTAATTTGTGATCCGCCTAAGAACCAGTGACAAAACATAGTAAACAGTGGAGATATGTTTACTATATATTTTTTATTGTCTTTGGAATCTGGAGTTTCCCAAATGAAAACCTTTCCTTTACTAAGCAAACCTCTTTTTGACTTTTAAGTAAACTTGTTGAGGATTGTTTTGCGATCAAAATGGTGGTTTAAACGTTAAAATCGGCCCAGTGGATCGCGAGATATTAGTACTTTAGTCTTCGTGACTATATGTTTTTTTTTAAAGAAGAGAACATATAGTCGCGAAGACTAAAATACTTATATCTCGCGATCTACTGAGCCGATTTTAACGTTTAAACCACCATTTTGATCGCAAGACACTTCCTCTACAAGTCTACTTAGAAGTTGAAGAGAGGTTTGCTTAGTAAAGAAAAAGTTTCCCTTTGGGAAACTCCAGATTCCAAAGGCAACAAAAAATATATAGTAAATACCTCCACTGTTTACTATGTTTTGTCACTGGCTGGTTCTTAGGCGGATCACGAATAAGTGTTCACATATATTGTGAAAAAATTTATGATTTATCAATAGAGTAATACTCACTTTACAAATATATAATTACTACTATAGAAGCTGTATTTTATTTTTTTTATTGCTTTTATTAAAACGCACTTATGGTGTTTTATATCTACGTTTACGTTATCTCAAAAACCGGTTAATTAATCGGTGTAAGGTGTTCTAAGTAAAAGTGTTCTGCGCCTCCAAAAACCCTTCCCAAACCCAAATTCAAACCCAAATTCAAACCCAAATTCTAACCCAAAATGCTAACTCTGACGTGAAGAAGTTTGTGTTAAATTTTACATACAAAACTTACAAAGGTTTAGAAATTTTTTAAAAAACATCATAAAAACATATAATAGGTGCAACACCACCATAGGTGCGTTTTATAATAAATGCTATTGGACTACTAAACTTAATACGTATTTGAAAAATTAAGTAATATATCATATATGTTATTTCAACCGATAGACTACGTAAACAATCGATGATTTTTTTTATTAATAACAAATTTGATTGGTTAGATTAATTAATTAGCTGATAGGTTCAATGACTAGTTGAATTGTAGTTGTCGTTTGATGACTAATAATTTTATTTGACTGACTAATCGACTGAAAATTTTTGACTAATTCCAATTTTTATTGCAAACTCATACGTATCAGTTTCAATTTAACATTTTATACTATATTTTTTCTAATATTTGTAAGTAATTTAAATTAATTTAATCAATTAATTTTTATATTACATATCGACCGATTTGGTTTGACCCAAAATTAGCCAATCATGATTGAGAATTATTTGTCGTTAAAATTTATTAGAGTAAGTTTTTTTACTTTGAATCCATAATTACGTTAAGTGTATAAAATATTGCAATATCTACATGTTTAATTATTAGCTGAAAGTAAGTTAAAAGGCCGTTTTTCTCAAAAATTACTTCCGAATTCGCTTTTACCCATTATACAACCGATCAAACAATTACAAACCGATCGTTCACTACCCGAAAATACCCGAACGCTTCAACAACTAGTGATATTGCTTTCTTTACGGCTTAGAATAGCTGTTTTTTTAGTATTTACTGCTTATTTATCTCATATAAAAAAACATTTTTAATGGATGTTTCGTATGTGATTCTTCAAAACAAATGATTAAACTCAATTATCTCAAAATAAGATCTATGTAAAAATGGACTGTTTCTATTGTCTGCACCCCATATAAACAATCAGAATAAATTTCCAAAAAATAGAAAGCAAAAAATTAAAATGTATAAAAATAACTATATTAAAAATAAATAAAAAAAACATCTAATTAACTACTTTAAAGAAACTTTTAAAATTATTTAAATAAGTATGATTAAAGATAATTTTAAATTATAAGTTACTAAATTAACAAAGAATATCAGCTTTCACCCAACAACGTACAAAGAACTATTCAATAATTAAAATTGATAGCACTTGTTTGAATAAAATGGAATCGTCAAAAAAAATAGACAAACACGAGTGCCTATAATAAACAGAAAAAACTTAAACCAGAGTATACTCGATCAAATATTAGATAATGCAATCATTAGCATAGAAGAATTGAACGTACGTGCGTGCCTGTGTAAAACTAAACTACTTAATAACAGAGTACGTACTATCTTCATAGTTGTGAAATATTACATTTTCAAAAGACACGTTAAAGCAAGTGATTGGTCAATTGAAAAAGCTCATTACGTCAGGACATATAGTAATTTCACGTGTGCACAAGACCTTATGAGAAGACAGATACAATATCAGATATCCGACAATACGATTGCTATTATATTCATTTTATTAATTCGTAATTCGTAATTGAAGGAAATATGCAATTATTGTGATTAATACAAATTAATGTTTTGTGCCTGAGATTTTAAATTTTAATGAATGCAATTAATGTTTTTTTCAAAAAAATTTTCCCCAAATTATTATACCTAACTATCGATAACAAAAAAGAAAAAAAACAAAGGTAAAAAAAAATTTTTCTCCTAATGAAAATATTTTACATGAACGATCGTTTTCTCTTTTTCTTTTTTTCCTTTTTTTTTGTTTTTTTTTTTTGTATTGTTTTTTTTTTGATTTTGTTTGCGTTTTTTTTTTTTCCTTAATACTTTTTTTTTCTATGATTAAATGTATCAATAGAGTCGAAATTTTTATTTTTGTCGTATCGTTAATGTTGCGGATACACTGCAGAAAAGAGAGTAACAATTGAAGGTTAGCAAGATATTACCCATAAATGGTCCTTTGTTCCAATCACCCTTCATCCGATACTTTTCTTACAACGCGAAAGACCTCTAATTCTTCTATGGTTTCTTCTAAATCCTCGAAACCGTTAGCATGGGCCAATAACTTTTCCCCATGGCGAAAATCAATAAACACTTCCACACCATCACCTAAAAACATATCAACATCAAGATGATTGTTTACCCGGAGCATCCACGGAAGTAATAATTTTCGTTGTTGCCATAAGTATCCAAATATGAATCCATTTCCACCTATATGTGTATTCCGGTTTTCTGTGGACCAACTAATCGATTTATATCCTCCGAATACCGCTTCATCTTCGTTTTGATTTTTAGTTCTAATTATTGTCATTGTTGGTCCTTGATCATAACACAGGTCTCTCCATGCAGTTTGAGCTAATTCATTACCAGGACATCGAAAAATTAAATGAAAGTCAAATGGAATTTTGTCGAATGTTCCAAACGGTAGATTTTCTGGAAGATCACAGTCTGTATCCGGATGATTTATCCAATAGGAAATTAGCGCTGGCTCTTCATTCTCCTTAATTATCGTCGAATTAAGGCGTAAAGGCTGAACGTCATAAATATATTGAAATTGTGCGTTTGCGTGATACTCCACAACTTGATCATAAAGTTCTGGTGCAAATACTCTAGTTAACGGGCCTACTTTTTTCATGAAATCATCCGGTGACATTTGGAAAAATCTTATCTGTGAAATTAGTTGTATTACATTAGATTGTAGTGTGGTTATATTATCGGTTGTCCAGGTTGAAAAGTCGTCAGCGAGTGAAATGCCAGGTGTGTTATTGATACCCCACATGATAACCGCAGCAAAAATGTCTATTTCGTCCAAACCCAATATGTCTCGTTCTATCAAACTGGCCACGTAGTCATGCGGCATGAATAAAAATTCCTTAGAGCTTATGAAGGCCTTTGGATGACGTAAAATTGCGTCATTACACAATGACACTAATTCTTTACATCGTGATATTTGTAATGCTACATATAATACTTCACTACTTTTCTCATTTACCCAAGATCTCTCAGTCCTAATTAAATCTGCCTCTAAATAATCTACAAATGCATCCATCATTAATATATCTGCTGCCTTTAATAGTTGCAACTTTTCCGTTACTCCAAGCTTTTCGATTTTCAAATATGCCCCATATATATAACTTTAATAAAATAAGTAAATTTTAGATTAATTTCAAAACCAATTTTTTAAAAAAAATTCTTGATTAAAAATAATAAATCTTTTATTTATTCATACGTACAAAAGCACATGTCCAAATATAGCATGCGGTATACTCATGCCTCGTAAATCAATAACAAAAAATCCATTTTCTTTTTTTTTCCATGCCGCCGATAACGCAGCTCTAAAGTATTCAGACCTAGTTCTTAAAATGATCGAGTGTGCTTTAAACGACTCACTAGCGATCTCGTCTCCTACATGAATTATCACATCGAAAGTTTCTTCCTGATCTAAAATTTTAAGAAAATCGCTAGAAAGTTGTTTAAATGATATAATTGTATCATAAAGTTCTGGCATGATTCCTTATTATTAGTTGAGTAAAAAGAAGGATAAAATAAATTTTTATTAAAGCGAAAGAAAAGGAAGAAAATGGTAAAAAATAAAAACTATAAAACACAATAAACCGATATATTTATACGTGCGTACGTAATACCTGCAGTAGGATAAACACTATAACACATGTGTACATGTGTACGACATCGCATGCACAGAAAAATCAATTTCCGTTATATAATGGAGTCCTTTTATCATCTATGTCAAATAACATCTTTCCGTACGATCATCTAATTTCCTAAAATTATTTGTTTATCCCAAAATTGTCAAAATCAGAGCCGGTAATTTTGGATTACAAGATAATAACTTGTTGATCATAGCCAATAAAAATAATAACACTAACTATTATAGTCATTTAGAGAAAATGTCTTCACAACTAAGATTGATCGATTTATTATCGTTCATAAATCAAAAATTAAACTGGAGTGGGGAATTTTTATAATCATTGTTGTTTACTAATAAAATTTAAATGGCCATATAAAAAATCCCCCCTGAATAGTAGACCCCATGTAATATACGTAACCTAGTGCGGATCTCAGGACCTTTAATTAAAATGCAGTTTCAAAAATGCAAATTTTTACTTTTTACGATATGAATTCTTATACTTGAGATCTTAAATTGGTGAAATATATCATACCCGGTTATTGTATATGGCGATTTTGGCAATATTAATCAATTTATGGCTATTTTTACGTACAAAAATACTTAGTTTCGGTTTAACAAAAATTTGGTTTGATCACAAGTAGAAATGTATTTTACGACCGGACATGTTTAAATTCTGTAAATACGATTTTTTGATTGTTTTTAAATATGTATTGTTAAAATTTTATTTAGTGTCTATATTAAATGATAATAACACCCAAATCGCTGAACCTGTGCAGATAGAATTATATTTATCGAATCATCTCATTTCTTAAAAGTACACAGTCAAGGATTTTACCAAAAATGGAGTCGTCTAAAGCGATGATAAATCACATGATGGTAGACAGTCATTTTGCAACCAACCATATAAATTTTAAAATTTTGATCGAATGTATCTTGATAAATATCCAACCAAATTAGATAAAAAATTTTTATTTGAATTCTACGAAGCCTTAGAATTCAAATAAAAAATTTTTCATCGAATTTATTAGGTACTCGTCGAGATATCTTCGTTCAAAGTTAAAAAAAAATTTGTACGTCTCTATAAAAAGTTACGTCAAAATACTTATAACTTTGAACGAAGATATCTCGAGTACCTTACAAAGTTCAACAGAATTTTTTTTATTTGAATTCTACGGATCTATAAAATTAAAGTAAAAAAAAAATTTATTGAATTTGGTTTTGATACTCGTTAAGATATCTCCGTTCAAAAATTAAAAAATCTGCACGTCTATCTAAAAATTCAAACAGCACCAAAATTCTTATAACTTTGAGTGAAGATATCTCGACAAATACATGACCAAATTCGATGAAAATTTTTATTTGAATTCATGAAATTCAAATAAAAAATTTTTCATTGAACTTGATTAGGTATTCATCGAGATATCTTCTTTCAAAGTGTAAAAAAATCCTAAAATTTCAAGCTGTATCAAAATTTTTTAATTTTGAGCAAAGATATCTTGATGAGTACATAACCAAATTCAACTACAACCAAATTCAATGAAAATTGTTTTATTTGAATTCTACAATTCTGTAAAATGTAAATAAAAATGATTTATTGAACTTGGTTAGTCAAAATTTGAGTAAAAATATCTTGACAAATATATACCTATAGTTCCACTAAATTTATGTAATATCCGTAAATAAGCACCTCTTATTTATAATCATATCCAATTTTTTTGCTAAGCAAGCCTACTCTCTGCTTCTAAGTAAAATTATTCTCCAGGCAAGAGTTAAAATCATCAAAATCAATCAAGTAGAACTCTCGATTTCTCTTCAAAGTTCAGGCGATCTTATGAATTTGCAGATCATATTAAACAAATGTAAACAATGTTGCCTGAATTTTGAAAAAAAATTGCAAAAAGTTCTACTAAATCAATTTTGTTTGGGAAATAGTTTTATTTAGAAACAGAAAGTAGGTTTACTTAATACAAAAATCTTAAATTGGGGGTGTAGTGACTTAGTGAAGTTGGTAAGTTGTCACATCCCCAAGCAGTAGGACAAGAGTTCGAATTCTACTGGTGACGAAATTCAAATTTACATAATGCATTAGGAAGACTGTATCCTATTGGGTTATAGAACCTGCACCAGCTTGTACTAGGAGGTAGTGGAACATTTAGTGTAACATATAAGTTAAATAAAATCTGAGTGAAGCTACTGAATAAATCCAGCGGATTAACAGAATACGGAAGCCCACTTTGCAAGTTCTGAGTAGAGAAGTAGCACAGATCTTTAATGGTATTATGTAAAGGATTATCACCCGGAAGTAACAAGAACCAAATGGGACTGAAGTGTTTGGCAAGGCACTTTACCAACCAGGCCGCTAGGCAAGTAACCAGAGGAAAAGGATCCAACCGTGGGGACCAGGAGCAGGTCACAGCCCTTCTGAGCCATCTGGATTGGAAGTTTGGGGTGACAGGAGTACAGAGAATAGTCCATAAAGTGGGTGCTAGAGTTTGAGTGAACTCTACAAGGGCAGTAATAGGTAATAGTAGCGGCTTTGGCTCACAAGTACTTGTTTCCAAACTCGGCATAAGTTATCGAAAGACTATGTTAGCTAGATTGTGGGTAAGAAAAGCTTTAGCAATGATGCCTTAAGGATAAAGTAGTTTTATAGGGAGTAGATTAAGCATCTGGGACTTCTTGACTGATAAATGTAATAGAGATATAACAGTGACACAGGTAGAGTTGCATTACAGAGGGTTTAAATGGGTAATTTTATAGTTGGGTTACAGATACAGCATCTAGTGTAGAGTCTAGTAATAGGCAAACTACTTAATTAGGTGCTCAAAAAGCACAGGTATGGTTAGAATGTACTCTCTAATATAAGGAGTTCCTGTGAGGCTCTAAGCCATGAGTCCCTCACTCAACAATACTTGAATAAAAATCTTAGCCCCAAAGAGACTAGTTAAAAAAAAAAAAAAATTTAAAATCTTATATTATTTATTTTTAACTTATACCTAAAAATAAACATCCTTTATAACAAAAAAAGAGTGCTTAATTTTAAAACTAAATTTTATAATTTTATAAAATTCAAATAAAAAATTTTTTTAATTTAGCAATCCTGCCTCTGTTTATTTGAGATTAAGCTATTCTAGAATTACATACTTTTATCTATAGTTATTGCTAATCTAACTAAACAAAAGACAGTTTTTGCTCAGATAACTTGCTTCAATATTTTTTGACATTCCTCTGAATCCTTAACTTACTAAGAATTTAATCCCCTTTGGTCATAGGCTGGCAACTACCTGCCTTGTCAGTACTGCTATTTATGTTTAATTTTACTTTACAAGTAATTTATAAAGATTAATTTGGTTTTTTACCACACTATACTAGGTTTTTGATATTCTTTAGTGTGGTTGTTTTCATATTTTTATTTTTCTTAGTTTTTTAGTTTTTTATTTGTTTTTAATTTTTTTTATTTTTTTAAGCTTTTTTTTTTTTTTGCAATGTCATAAACAGGTAAATTTTTATTAAATAATTTAGTAGTACATTCTTGGTTAATAAGAATACATTTAGTTACACATACAACTTTTGGTTGCCTATTTAAGTAGTTTACTCACACTATATGCTATATCTATAAACTAACTAGAAAATTATCTATTTAAACTCTCTGATGTTCCTGTCCTGCCACTACCACCTCAATTACATTGGTTTATAACCTCATGTTGCTTTAATTAAAGGCTACTCAGATTGACATATGCTATATTACCTGTATTTTAATTCTATAAATAACCTAATAGAGTTCTTATACTATCAAATCACTCTAGAGAAAGTATAGTATATATCTCTCTAATTTTTTTATATCCTACATATTTTTAGATTAGACTTCAAATACCTTCCATAACAGTTGAAACTACTATTATCAGTTAGTGTTAATCATTAAACTGCTCAATTTTAATATTTATACTTTTATAAGATTCATTCTGATCCTGATACTCACATCAAACCAGTCTTTATACCAATTCCTTCTAAATTACCAAACCAGTTAGCTCAGATAGATTATTGTATCTAGGCTTTAAGTGTCTTTTAGTTTTACTTTTTTGGTTTCTAATTCTATAGTATAGGATTTTTTTCTAGTATGATTCTGGTAATCAAATTAGTAGACCTTTCTTGCTTTAAAAATTTTATTCAGTTCTTCAGTTTTTGGTTTTAGCTTTTTATAGTATCATCAAAAATCTTTACTACTTTCTTGATCAGGTTTTGTCAAATAAGTTTTAATTATTCCAGTTCCTTGAATTTGGATCATCCAAAAGCTTCTATTTTGAGATGATAGTATCAAGATACAAATAATATACCTAACCAATTGTTAAATAAATATTATTAATATACAGACCTATTTTTCTAAAAATGTCTTTGGTAGGATTCAAACTCTAAACCTGCTGCTTAGAGATAATAACTTAACTACTACTCTAAGTTATTACATCTTATATTTTTTTTATCAAAAGCTTACTCCTTTTTCCTCTTAATATATATTTTGATCAGGTTTTTATATATAATTAAAATTTTTTATTATCTTTTTTCTCTAAAAAATTACTTGATTTTTGTCATGTCTTTTATATATTAGTAAAAAAAGAACCTGTAAAAATAATCAGTGAAATTTGAAAAATATGATATTATAATATGATTGTAGTAAAATATATAATAGCTTAGAAGTATATTGTATATGTTCAAAAATAAGCTACTATTTTTGGTTAATAAGTTATACAAAAATTTTGCAGATAGCTTATTTTCAAATAAAAATGATTTTTGTTAATTGTATAATATTTTATTAAGTACAGTTAGACCTCTCTATAATCACAAGTCTGTTATATTCTAATATAGTGATTATATAAAGATGTGATTATAAACAAATATCAGATTAATATCATATAATTTTTAGCCAATTAATGACTACAGTCAGACCTCTTTATAATTACAAGTCTGTTGTACTCTAATATAATAGTTATATAAAAGTATAACTATAAACAAATATTAGATTAATATT